GGTGGACGGGGGAAGCCTTTGTCGACTGCTCCCTTATGCCTCGTGAAACGAGGTTTACAGGAGCAGTCAACAAAGGCTTCCCCGTCAACCGATCCACATCTTGACTGTGCCCACGATCAGCTGAGCCGGCACAGCGTGGCAGTCATTTTTATTTTAATGAAGCCGGGGATATTTAAATCCTGGCTTCTTTGACTATGTCAGGTGGACGGGGGAAGCCTTTGTCGACTGCTCCCTTATGCCTCGTGAAACGAGGTTTACAGGAGCAGTCAACAAAGGCTTCCCCGTCAACCGATCCACATCTTGACTGTGCCCACGATCAGCTGAGCCGGCACAGCGTGGCAGTCATTTTTATTTTAATGAAGCCGGGGATATTTAAATCCTGGCTTCTTTGACTATGTCAGGTAGCCTAGATTACATGCCTCTGTCAGCAGAGGCATGTAGTCTAAACATACCTTTTATGTCCAAGGTACAGGCGACCCCCGCACTTACAACCTAATTGGTTCCTGGAGAAAAGTCATAAGTCAACCCCTTATTTCCATGGGCGCAATGTTATAAATAGCTGTTTCGTTCCTGGAAACCCATTTCATACCCTAAAAATACCAAAACTAAGGAAATGGAGGAAAACTAAACTAAATAGTTCAAATAATACACAAAAATAACTAAAAGGTTAGGACCGATGTGGTGGAGACACATGCAGGTCAAGGTGCAGCTGCAGACAGGCGAGTCTGACTGACCTTGTGCGTTTCCTGTTTTGGGATGATGCATGGTGTCTGTTGTACGCCACCGTACATGCGAGCTGCAGATGTATATTGAGGGTTTTTAGGAGTTCTCACATGAAAAAATGGTCGTACATGCAGGAGGTTGTAAGTCAGGTGGTTGTAAGTTGGAGGTCGCCTGTAATCTGCTTGCCAGAAAGAGATGAAGGATCCAGTCACCTCCCACTTCCAGAACAGTTCCACAGTGTTCCTCTCCATTCACTTTGGAATGTGTTCTTGCTCTACCATGCCGATCACTATTCTCTCATTGTTTCCTTGTACTCCCTTGTCCATGTCTATGTGGACAGACGTACTTACATTGACAGCACTCTGGAGTTAAAACCATAGTTTTACCTTGTGTTTGTAGAGCAACAAGCACAACAGGATCCAGGGCTAGGGCTGCTAGGTGGTGTTACTTACCATAGCACCACCACTCCATGCCTAAAGTCTAGTTACAGACATCCCAACAACCCCCCCGTCAACAAAACTGTGGCATCGGATATTCATGTATCCCTTTTAGGTACAAAATTAAGCTTTTAGCCTTTTCAATATCCGTGCAATGATATCTGATAGTGAATCACTGAATGTCTCCACAGCAGAGATTCTCATGGAATCCTAGGGCTGGAAGAGACCTCAGGAGGTCATCAAGTCCTGGTCAAAGCAGGACCAACCCCAACCTTTGTCAAGCCAGCACTTAAAAACCTCCCTGGGTAACCTCCACCATCTCCCTAGGCAACCCATTCTAGTGTTCCATCATCCTCTGAACAAGTTTACTATCATAGGCTGCATATTCAGGTCTGTTATGTGGGCCTCATCCAGACAATAGGGCTACGTCTAGCATCGCTTTTCCGGAAAGGGATGCCAATGTAATGTGACACATCGCAATTGCAAATCCGCAGGGGATTTAAATATCCCCCGCGGCATTTGCATTTACATGGCTGCCGCTTTTTTCCGGGTTGGGGATAAGCCGGAGAAAAGCGCCAGTCTAGACGTGATTCTCCGGAAAATAAGCCCTTTTCCGGAGGATTTCTTATTCCTACTTTTCTGGAAAGGGATGCCAATGTAGACACAGACTAGCTGTGCTACCTGCATTGCCCTAAGGCTGTCACAGAGCCCATAGCTGAGTGTTGACTGGGATGCAAAGTTCCCGCTGGCTGTGGGTTGAGAACCACTGCTCTACAGTCACTAATCACTCCTGTTGCATCTTCCTTCTATGCAACTTCTCTACATTCACCTGCTTTATGACCGACTCCTTGGCTCCTGAGCTATGAACTTGGAAGGGTTTATTGTCAAGCTGCACAGACTGGCCCCCCACAGCTAATGGAGAATTAGGGTAAAGCAGAGAGGCCTAAAAGAGGGGACTGAAAAGGTCTGACATTATTACGATCATCAACAGTGTAGCGAGGGTGGCGCATTTCCATGGTAAGAACATTTCCTCCTGCAATGATTAACCTGTGTCAGTAGCAGCCTGGGTGTACATGGCATTTCACAGAGACTCAGACATTCTCTGCAGGATATGGAGATTGCAGCCTGTGGTGACAGAGCCATTGGCACATTCCACGCCTGAGTAACCCACAGAGGAATGGGGCGTGACAACGGACTCCCCTCTGTGCCCGATTCACAGAGGAAAAGAGTCCATTACCCTCTGCCCTGGGGGACTCCACTGTTTAGCTCAAGCTGCAGCAGCTCCTGCTGTTACCTCCTGAGGTCTCTCCTTTAATCTCCCCTGTGTCTGCTGTGATGCTGGCTGTCTCACTTACTAGCTCATCTGTAGGAGACAAGGAGAGAGACAAGAGAAGGAAGAGCTGCACAAGGTTTAAAGGGTCCATGGAAGAAGCATGGCAAAAGGGGGAAGTGGCTTGTAGGAAGAAAGAATGTGCTTGGCAGGCAAGAAATTCAGCCCGGGGTAGTGCTACAGATTCATTAACTCCTTGCCTCTTGTCCTGCTCTCTGTGCCAAGAAAGAAAAACTGTTCTCCATCTTTTTTACAAGCAGCCTTGCCAAGAAAGGTCTGCATGGGATGTAAAGGGTGAACCAGTAAGTAGGGGTATGTCTACACTACAGCGCTAATTCGAACTAACTTAATTCGAATTAGTTAATTCGAAATAAGCTAATTCGAATTAGTGCATCTAGACCTAAAAACTAATTCGAATTAGCGTTTTTCTGGCAGGCTTGCAACTGGCACAATCACTGTAGCCAGACCATGGCCCTTTAAGGGCTCCGGGGCCGGGAGGGGGACAGAAGAGTTTCCCTGGTTTGGCCGAGAGTGGCCACCAGGGCAACCTGGGAAGGGCTAGCCTCCCACTAGTTCGAATTAAGTGGCTACACAGCCCTTAATTTGAACTACTTAATTCGAATTAGGCGTTACTCCTTGTAGAATGAGGTTTACCTAGTTCGAATTAAGCGCTCCGCTAGTTCTATTTAAATTCGAACTAGCAGTTTGCATGTGTAGCCCCTATGAAAGATAATTCGAACTAACAGCTGTTAGTTCGAATTAACTTTGTAGTGTAGACATACCCTATTAGCCTTACCAGCATGCATACCTGGTCATCAGTTAACCAGCAGCCTAGCCCGGCCAGAGCAACTTTGCCTCATGGTGTGATGCAGCAGGCCCTGCCTGTCTGGAGCAGACCACCGCCCCTGGCATGGCAGGTACAGTCTGGCTGGAGCAGTCCCTGCCACGGGATCCCAGCCCTCCAGTAAACCTATTGTTTAACTGGTTTACTTTTTAAATGGGACTTACCATCCCTAGTTTGCATTCCATCCCTTTGATCATCTTTGGGAAGGATCCAGGTGAGTCACAGTTTATCCACATCCTTTATTGTACCAATGACCGAAATTGGACCCAGTTGTCCAGCTGAGACCTAATCCAGGCCGAACAGGGCGATACTACCTGTGCTTTGCATGCTATGCCTCACAGCCTAAAATTGCATCAGCATTGCACTGTTGACTTATGCCGAGGTTTTGGACCCCCACAATTCCCAGATGCCTTTCAGCAGTGCTGCTACCAAACCAGTTACCCCCCCTTCCCCTCCACACACCTTTGCTGAATTTTGTTTTGTTGTCTACAGACTAACTGAAATTACAGCAGAGCAGTAGGACAGTGGAACACACTGCTTAGGGAGTTTATGGAAGCTCATCAGGTGAAGGCTTCCGAGAGGAGGCTGCATTGGATGGCTTAGACAAAAAAAAAACCCGCATCTTGGCAGGGAGTTGAACTTTCCACGAGGAGTAACGGTAGTTCGAACGAATTTTGTTTTGTTGTCTACAGACTAACTGAAATTACAGCAGAGCAGTAGGACAGTGGAACACACTGCTTAGGGAGTTTATGGAAGCTCATCAGGTGAAGGCTTCCGAGAGGAGGCTGCATTGGATGGCTTAGACAAAAAAAAAACCCGCATCTTGGCAGGGAGTTGAACTTTCCACGAGGAGTAACGGTAGTTCGAACTAGGAAGCCTAGTCCAAACTACCTAGTTCGTGCCGCGTGTAGCCGCGCGGCACGGGGTTCGAACCAGCCGGGATTTAAAAATGGCGGCGCCCGGCTTATGCAAATGAAGCCTGGGAAATTCAAATCCCGGGCTTCATTTGCAAGTGCAGTATGCCTACATT